GGTCCTGAGTTCAATTCCTAGCAACCACATGTTGGCTCACAACCATCTGTAATGGGATCTGGCGCCCTCTTCTGTATACATAATAAAAAAAAAAAAAAAAAAAAAAAAAAAAAAAAAAAAAAAAAAAAGAAGCAGAAGAAATGGTCTCCCCAGGGAAGAGCCCTCCAACTGGCTATCTGATACCAGGTGGTCAGCCCTGAGGTCATATACACACAGGCAAGCACACGGACTGAGAAGGTTATATTCATGTGTTTAGGGATGTATATATAAACAATTAAAAAGAGGCCATGAGTTGGAGAGAGCAAGGAGGGGACATGGGAGAAGTTGGAGGGAGGAACGAGAAGGGGGAAATGATGTAATTATAATTTCAAAACAATAAGGTGGAAAGAGATAGAGAAATACACTGCTATCAGTCTCTGGGCATGCGTAGACCGGTGTGCCCAAGTACACATGAGCACATGCGTACATACTCCACAAACACACACTCTGAAAAACATAGGTGAGTCAGGGCAGAGAGCATGAATAAGTTCTTTGTTATTTTTGTAGTGTTTCATAAGTTTGGAGTCATTTCTGAATAAAAGGTTGATAGAAAATGCTAAAAAAAAGGAGTATGTCTTATCAGCTCAGGATAAAAAAGGATTTATTAAAGAAGATATATAAAGTCCAAATTATACAGTTAAAGATGAATACATTTTTAAAATGCCTGGCTCTAAGTTGGAGCATACAATAAAGAAAACATGAGCCACTGACTAGAAAATCTTCACGGACACGAGCAAATTGCCAGGGCGCAGCTCAGGTCAGGTGATGGGAGCATGCCCAGTATGCATATAGCCCTGGGTTCAGTGCCCAGCACCACATAAATTAGAGCATGGTAGCACACACCTGTAATCCCAGCACTTGGGAGTAGAGGCACGAGGCTCAGGCGTTTAAAGTCATCCTGGACTACATATTGAGTTCAAGGCCAGCCTGGGATTCATGAGACACTGTCATAAATAAGAAAGGAAAATGACAAAGAGAAAAACCAACAAACAAAAGTTGGTATCTGTATATCTCTCCTCATCTACTACATCTCTACTCATCCAAATCTATCTATACCCGTATAAAAGGTAAACATTCTAGTATTAAAATGGACAAAGGATTTGAGTGGGCACATCCATGGAAAAGCTTAGGAGAAAATGCTCAACCTCTCTAGTAACCAAAATGAGAAATAAAACAAGACAGTGACGCACGGTTCACACCCGTCAGATTGGCAAAAATACTAGTGTGACAATACCGATCCTTTGAAACGTGGACCTGTATTGGCTGGTGACGGTATCGTTAGGGTCGGTTTACAGTGGCGGACATGGCAAGCCCATTTTCCGGTATCTTCCCACGACAGTTAATTTGATGAGATTAAAAATCACTGCAGAAACACACCTCGGGGTGGGTCTGTGAGGAAGTTCCTAGAACAATTTAATGGAGGAAGGAAAAACCCACCCTGAATGTGGGTGGCAACATTCCTCGTGCTGGAGTCCTTGGACTGAGTATTGGAAAGGGGACTGAGCACCGAGTTCAACTCTCTGCTTCCAGATTGCTGAAGGTGGGACCAGCCACCTTGTGTTCCCGTTGCTACGTCTTTCTCAGCAGGATGGACGGTGAGCTTAAACTGTTAGTCAAAATAAACGCTTCCTACGAGAAGAAACCAGCGCCTTCATCAAGAGGAGTAATTTCTATTTGTGGATGAGCAGACTTGTACAAGCATTCATTCATTTATTCATCAAAAATACAGTTACTGGAGCTGGAGAAAAGGCTGACGTTAAGAGCACTTGTTATCCTAGAGGACCTGGGTTCAATTCCCAGCACCCACATGGCAGCTCATAACTGTCTGTAACTCTAGTCCAGGGGATCCAACACACAACCTTCTGACATCATTGGGCGCTTGAAGTTATGTGCACAAACCCACACACAGAAGCACAAACGTACGCTACTTAAAAAATAAAATCTTGGGGTTAGCTCAGTGGTAGAGTGCTTGCCTAGCAAGCTCAAGGCCCTGGGTTCGGTCCTCAGCTCTGGGGAAAAAAAATAAAATAAATAAATAAATAAATAAATAAATAAATAAATAAATAAATAAATAAATAAATAAAATCTTTAGTTGGGCATGGTGTTACATGTCTTTAGTCCCAGCACCTGGGAGGCAGAGGCAGGCAGAGCTATGTGAGTTCGATGCCACCCTTGTCTACAGAGCTAGTTCCAGGCCAGCCAGGGCTATACAGAGAAACCCCGTCTAAAATAAACCACAAAAATAAAATCTAAAAAAAAAAAAAAAAAAAAAAAAAAAAAAAAAAAAAAAGTTACTGGCTTTCTTCTGTGCATTAAGCACTATCCTCGGCTCTGGAAACACAGCCATGAATTAAGACTTTCGAGTCCCTGTCCTTGTGGGCTCACATTCCACTGAGGACAGAAGACAATACACAAGCC